CCCGACTCATTGCAGCCATCAGTGGCCTCTGATAAAACATTGAAAAACGTTTAATCCATTCAAATTGAATAATTCATCACGTCATGAAAATTGATTCACGTATTATTCATCCGTTCGCTCTTGACAACCTTTCATCGTATTTGCAGAAATGTGTTATTGTGCCTCTGAACAAAGGATAGCGGTATACTGATAGGTATTGCGAAAGCGAAGAAGCTTCTCGTTCGTTTGCACTCGCAATTGTCACTAAAAATATCACGGAACAGCAGAATGGAATATTGATTCTGAATGTGACAGACATTTGCCTTTAGGCAGGAAATGAACATAAAGTGTTCCGGAAAATCAAATGCGAAGCAAAAGCCTTTTGGCACTGAGCTAAGCATTTTAATTGGTGCATGTGTGTTGATATTCCTATCATTTCCTCGCCTATGCAAATAACAGAATTAACATTTGTTTAATATTTCAATAGATGTTATTAGGCTTTACTTGCGATGAGGCAACCAGTATTCAATACCACAAAGGCGGGAATACACATTACAGGGAAGTTAAACAGTTCGATAACAAGAAATCATTTCTTCACCATTGTTGAAATACTAAAATGGTAGATGTGACTTTGCACTTCGTCATTTTAGCCTCTATGTCAATCCTCATTGTGGCTGCCAATATCATCGTTTGCGTATCTGTAGTAACAAACGCTCAACTTCGCACTTACACAAACGGATTTCTCGTATCTTTGGCCGTTTCAGACATTTTAACGGGCGGACTCTTCTTTCCCGTTCACCTTAGTGGGCCATATTCGCCTGTAGCTTTCACAGAAGGCTACTTGGTTGCTTTCGTTCTGTTGGCTGGTGTTGGCAATATTTGTTTGGTCACATGGGATCGCTATATTGCTGTTACCAAACCGTTCCAGTACAAGGAAACAGTGAAGAAACACTTCTCAAAGATGATTATCGTGATTTGGGCAATTTCCTTACTCGTTGCTCTCTTACCTCTGACATGGATGACAGATTACAATATCGTCATTCACAAAGTGTATCTCTTTTGCTTAATGGGCTTTTTTGTTGTCATCCCGTACGCAGCAATATTTCTTGCTTACTACAAAATTGGTCAGAATTTGAGGAAACACCAACAGAAAATTCGCAAACACTCTCACGCCACTGGTTCTCATAAATGCAAAAGAATGAAAGCAGAGGCTAAAGTCACCAAAGTTTTTCTCGCTATTGTAATGATATTTGTGTTATCATGGTTGCCGATCATTTATATGACAACAGTTGCCAGTTTGAACAAGCTTAACTTATCTCCTGACGCTCTTCAAAAAGCTTCTCTTTATACCGTGGCACTTTCTTCTTTGGCAAATCCTTTACTTTACGCATTTGTTAAGCAGGATTTTCGGCGGCAGTTTAAAAGACGCTCAGCGCGCCAAGGGATAAGTTCTGTTTCTGCAGCTGCCAATAAAATGATGGAGCCTCCAACGGCACCTTGTAGGACGGAAAAGGACCGCAAAAAAAATACAGTCATTTACGTCAAATATTTCTCCCTACGGAGCTAAATATATTCTTGATAAAGGGAGAGTAAAACACACAAAAAGCATTCCCTACACCTGTAAATGATGTTATGGTGGACAAATTCCGGTAAGTTTCGGAATAAATTCACGAAAACGAGGGAGCAATCCTCCATATCATTCCCAATTATTCGTAAAACAAAACCCACTTTGTTTCCGTATATCTATAAACAGCCTCAATCACTCAACAATAACAGAATAAGTGCGTAAAAAGATAAGGCAATCTTCTTTTCACCAAGGAACTCAGCGAAAGATTTGGATGATATAAAAGCAGACTTCGCCAGCAGAACAGGTGTCACTTTTCTGCGTTTATGCCGAGCGGAAGCAAGCACGAGGTGGGGGCGAGGATTGAGTCACGCGCGTGTTTCCTCGCCTCACGCCCGTCTCACGCTCACTTCGCGCCCACCTCGCGCCTGCCTCTCGGTACCTTCTCACCACAAACCTCACCACCCCCTTGCCTCAATATGCATGAAGACTCACGCCTATTCTGCCGACGAATAAAGACTACAATGTGTGACAAAGAGGTTTCCAAAAATGTCTAGCAAGATGGAAAGGTGAGCAGGTGATATTTAGTTTTGCGACAGGTCGACCAAAAATTAAATAATCCCACAGCAGCTTGACTTAGCTCGAAATGTTTTAGAAAATAAAGTATTTATTGATGTTGGATATTAAAATGGAGAAATTAGTCTTCAATTTACTAGTCATGGCAATGACAAAAATCGTTACAAAAGAGAGCCAAAGAACAGTCACTCGGTACTAAAATTAAGAATTTGGTATATTTGTCTTGCGCTTGCGAAGGAAAAACCACTCATTAATAGATTTGTCTTCAGGATGCGAGAGGCTTGTCATCACCTCAAAACCATAATTAGTGATTTCTTGTAGAATCGCTGTAGTAGATGAGTCCGCCTGTTCTTTATCGAACGAAAATACGAGAGGGCTACAGATGCAGTCGTAGCCATGAAATATCTCCTGTAAGATGAGCTTCTCGGCGAAAACCGTCAGCAACGTCTCTAATCCGTGCTTATCTCTGTCCAGAGTTATTCGAATCACTTGATTTCTTCCCACAGTACTGCTTAATTTGATTTTTTTCAAGGCTTCAATGAGACGAGGAATTTGATAAAAATCGGCCTCCTCAGCGAGCTGATCAAATTCCTGAAAATTGTCAGGTAGATTCAACTTGGAAGAGCGCAAGAAATTTAACACATACCGAAACATCGGCCCGTCACGATCGATGAAGAAATTTCCTCGAGAATCTTTCGCCACCGGCCGCCGTCCACTAAACATGACCCCCAACATGGAGTCTGGAAATCTTGTAAGGCTTGCTAGTGATGTGGTGTAAACATTGCCTCCAACGTTTACGTCTATTATGGATGGAAATTCTTGAACTTCGTCCATTCTCATCAAACGTGTGCTGTTAAAGGAAAACCGAAACCCCTACGCACATCAACTAACTTCATTTGAGGTAAACACAGTGGTAAGTTGTCGTTCGAAAGATATCTGAGAACTCCACACATTGGCAAAACGGTGACAACATAATCAAACATAGCGGTGGACAATTTTTAGAGTAGAGGCAGTGTGAAAACTTGAAATTTTTACTGAATCTACATCCCGAAAGAACCTCGGTGACGGTGGTGGTGGTTAGATTTGAATAATCTGAGTTAATAACGTGACATTCGTTTACCTTTTGCCAGGAAAATAAACAGAACTTGCATAATCGATCAAAAAATATCTTGAACATACCTTAAATTCTCAGTATCGAAGACCAGCGGAAAAAGTAGCCACGTCTTAATAATATGGCGGCATGTCGAATGCGAGACACGTCATGTAATGATCATCGATTGTGGCGTGTCATTCGCGTTTTGTCACGCAAGATTTCTGAATTAAAAGTTGTACCCTTTTCTAAGCAATTCAGCTACTATGCAAGGCTTTAGTAACGCACGTGCCCCGTTTTCACTTCTTGTTTTCTTTTGCTGGAGTCGTATTTCACATTTTCGGGGAAGAAAACAAAAGAGAGAAAATTAAGGAGAAAAAGAAAGAATAAATTAAGATTTAAATCAGATATTTGACTGCCCTTATCAGCATAGAATTAGGTTTAGAAATATACTTTTTCTCCATTTAGAATAAAAAAATCCGTTTAAAAATTAATTATTCTAATATAGCACTTTCAGAATTGGAAAGGACTTCATCAGTTTCTCAGCTAGTCCCATCCTCGTATCCGGTGTGAAATAAAAGCCACTCGTCACTCGAGCTGGTCCAGAAAAGGTGTGAAGGAAAAGCAAATCATAAAAATGTCTTATATCCTCTTAACTTCGTGACATGTCTGCTGCTATCTAAACCTTTTGGCGAAATCAAATCAGATTTTCAGACCACTTTTCTATACTCTGAGATCAAGAGGGATATTGATTGGACCAATGAACACCGCCCCAATTAAAGAGCCTAAGCAAGCAGAGCAATTGTCCGTTGACATAAAAAATAAAAAGATGAGTGACAGAAAAAAATCCAGGGATTGTGTATTGCGCAAATAATTTCCTACCTTAGCCTGATCTCCCTCATTTTGTCATGGAAAAGAACTTTTATCAAAATGTTTAATAAAAAAGTTAAGGGAAGAAGGAAACCAATCACCTCACAAGCTCTGCAGAATCCTATGCGTACCTAGGCAATTATTGGGGGTTAATTGACAGATTGACGGAGACGACTGGGAATATATTGTACAACTACAAAAGTAAGAGGGGCGTAACAATGAAAACTGTGTTCTCCGTCAAAACACTGACTGTTGTAAGACCTACCACGAACTTTCGAATTTTAAAATGAATTCCCTGAGCAAATATATTTTAAACAAGGGGAACGCAAACCAATTCGAGAGGAAAATTAGAACGCGTTATGCTATCGGACAATGGACAATTTTATTCCTGAATTTCATATTTGTCAATGTTTACTTTCGAGCCATTTTAACGTAAAAGTTCAATTACAATTCCACGTGTTATATTTCAATATAAGGTATTTCATTTCTTTCCCATTCACCTGCAATATCTGTTTAGGCACAATAATAACCGCTCCCAGATAGCGCTAATGGCACTTCTATTGCTACACAGTATATTGATTTGACAATTCATGTTTATAGTTAGACGCAGTAAAAGACGAGATGTGTCTTCCTCAGAAAAGCTAAGAGATTTCATGATTCTACCATTCAATATGAGTTCTTTTGTTAAAACAGGTTCATGGCATGAGTCGTTCTTTGCAGCATTACTTACGAACGAATACCCAGGCCTGACTTGCGTGACCATCTAAAAAGAAAGTTGACATCTTGACCTCAAAACCCTCGTCGACAACATGTTGTAGAAAAGCATCTAACTGTTCCAATTTAATCGGAACTTTAGCTTGTCCTCCCTCCACGATCTTGTCATTCGTTTTGAAGTTGTAGGCAGAGCCGCTCAGGACATTTCCACCCAACATCCGTACATTGGGCACGAGCCTCTGAATAACCGCCAACCCACCAGCCAACACCAGCTGCGTCTTCGAGCTGTAGAAAAGCCGTAGAATCTCTGGGCCGGAGCTAATGAGCTTCCTGTTTTTCTTGGCATTTTGAACCTCTTCTTCAAGCGGTTTAATCCCATAGAACGCGGCTTCAATCTCAAACTGTTCAAAATCCTGAAAGTCGTCCGGAAGGATCAATTTTTTCGTGCGCAAGAAGTTGAGGACGTGTTTAAACAGCACACCGTCTCTGTCTAAGAAGTAGTTTCCCTTTTGATCCCTAGGTACCTGGCTCTCTAAACTAAAAAGCTTTCCTAGTTTTGAGTCGGAATACTGAGTGACAGTGTAAAGCGTGGTTGTGTAAATATGACCACCGACATTAAGACCCACCACTCTTGGAGGTTCGGCCATGCTTGGTTGTCTCGAAATAGGAGACTGAAGTGTGAATTGTGCAAGCTGTTTCCAGTGAAAAGAGAGACGAACTGATACTGTTACTACTGAAGCCCACCATAATAAACATTTCCAAAAGTCACGTGAGCTGTAGTATATCAATCTAAATCAGTCTTTTCTGTCACGACACATTTTAAAATGTCGTGCCTTGTAATTCTCATTAGCATATGCTTAATGGACCCGCCAAGCGCACGAAACAACTTTACAGTTACTTTACAGTTATTTGTGTATACAAGGCCTTTATCTTCAAATGGCTATCATTTTGAATGAGGTTAATGCCCATAATTGAAACAAGTTAATTGGACTAAGTACTGCTACAATAGCTAAACGCAGCGGAAGGAATCGTTGTGGTAAACTGGACTATATCCACGTCTATCAATGACTTGCAAGTGAATTTCGAATTTACTAACGTTACTCAATATCAATTTTTAGATAATTTCTAACTGCTCAATATCTTTATATTGTTATATATTAAGATACAGTAGCGTTTGATTTCCACTCCCACATTCTTCAATCTCCGGAATATAAACAAAACTGATACAATTTCAGTTTAATAACCATTTTGAGATGGAGATCATTCGGCCCATCAGAAATTCATAGGGTCAAGGTGTGAAGAGTCCCAATACGTGACTTCAAAAGACTGCTATGTTATGCGATAATATACGGTTTTATAAGATTCTCAAATTTTCCACAATTAGAACTTGGCGTCGAAGCAAGAGTTCTATCTCCCCCTTTACGATTGTACTAGTGTACGGAGGGCCGTATCGGCTTTTATCTGCGAACTGTCGAGATACCGTAATGGTCCTCAGTGGTATCTATGACATTTTGACTGAAGACAAGGGCGGTACTTTTCTCCAATTAACGTGACATGTTCTTACGGGAAAACTACAACATCTCGTCACCATAAAGAAAGGAAGAAAGAAAAAGCAAAAAACAAAATTTTATCAGCGTTATGTTTATATACAGAAGCTGCAAAACCCAACAGTAAATTACTTGGGCGAATGATTTATTCACACACGTTAGTCATTCAAATCAGTCCATCAGCCAAAAGAGAGACACTGTATTATGCATATTTAACTCGGTGAATAGGATTAGCACTTGAGTTCAAGTTAACTTTAGGCGAACTTTTGTTTTTCAGTATCACCCTTGCAGGTTCCTGTGTCTCTAAGCTAATTCCGAGTAAAACTTATTGTGTCAGATTTTTGGTAGGCGAATCTCTATGTACTTCTTAAAAGTTGGTTCCTGATCTGTTATGAAAGTATTTCGCTTATGCTTGCTACTCCCAGCTTCCCTCCTCATATACCTCAGCGTGTCGACAGGAATGAGTGGCAGTTCGAGGACGCTCCTACCCTGGTGACTTTGAGAAAGTTCAGATGCATTATAACCGAGCTCAATCTGACTGTGCTGCATCATAACTTGGACCAGGTTTGGTGCCACAAGTCTTCTTGGTGTAACCTCCAATCCCGGAAACTCCACAGACTGTTTCTTGACAATAGCATTACGTTGCTCCGTCAAACAGCATTCCGCACATGGACCAATTACATCACAATATTCACGTCCGAACGCGCACTTCGAATGACGTTCAGTAAATTTCGAGTGTATACTTTTCAGGCTCATTCGATGAGAGAGCAAACCACCACAAGCAGTGCATTTCGGCTGATGTGAAAGATTATTTACTTTCTTCGTCTCCTTAATGGTGTCTCTTGTTCGTGTCTCGCTTGGCTTAAGTTTGTGTTTGTGCCAATATTGAATACCGCCTGAAATTTTATCAGAGTACGTTTGGAAGCGGAGTTTTTCTCTTGCGTTGACTTGCGACGACGTTGGCATCCATTCTTTGCCTTTTCCAGAGGAAAGATGATCATCGACAAGCTTTGGAAGTGTTGAACGTTGAAAGTATTGCCTGTGAGGCATGTTGTCAACTCGCTTTTGATATTACCACTTGGTTGTTTGCCATCATTATTCAGATTATAATTGAATTGGTTAACTTGATAAATCGCCTCGCATTTTAAAAGCGTTGTTTCAGCCCCTCTTACACAGGAGGGTGATTAAATTAGGGATACTTCGAGTGAAAGATGACCACATCGCGCTTTTCCTTATTTCCTCGCTTTTCTTGTTTACTAACCCGCAAGAATACTTCTCCTAAGTTACCGACTAATTACAATGCACTACTTAGGCCTAAGGCGATTATTTACGATCAATCTAACATGACTGACCATTGCCGAAGAGGTCACGCTTGACAGGAGCTGGATTAAAATGCTTTGTCGGAGAGGACAATGTGCCATTGTCAACACCACAGTGTAGTCACAAAGGAGAATTGAATACGCCGAGCGAAAATTGAGAAGGAAAGAAAAAGACGATAACGGAGATGAAAACCCTTTCTGCTCAAGGTCAATTTTTAGTTTTTATAAAAAGCACACGAGGGCAAGAGCTACACCATTTTTAAATACTCAATCATGGAAATCGAAGACCTAAGGTCCAGCTTTTTGCTTTATTGCCTCTTTTTAATCAGTAATTCTCTAGAAAGGTTACGCTATTTGTAAAGAGCAAACCATTCTGTCTTTACCCTAATCTACCGAACGGCTGGGATGTTTCTTTCATTTCAGTAGCAGGTGAAAGGACGTTCGGCACTCGCTTCGCGTTTGCCTGCAACACGAACATGGCGGCTTTTCTGTAGGGTATTCTCGCCGAATCCAATCCAAAGGCGTTATTGTGACACTTCCTTCGTGAGAGAAAGGTCAGACTTGTTTAAAGTTGTACGCGGCAAGAACAAGGCATGTTAGCTATTTATAAAGCATGCAGGTCAGCGGGGGTAACATAAGCTAAGTGCGACTCGTTGACTGGAAGACTTGTTTTGTACTGCACCGTCTGAGAAGACCGGAGAATGTAGCGTTTGAGTGAAAATCAAATATCGAGACTCTGATCATATCATTTCTGATCAACAAAGAGATCTAGGAGCAGTTATGTGTATACATCTCCCGGCCAACATGAAATTCGAGGACATTTCAAAGTGGAATTTGTGGTAGACATTGTAATCAGTACTCCGAGCTTGTCTTGCTGTTTATTCGTACTTTTGTATTAACATGGCAAAAGCACAAGATCCTAATAGCTCGTGTTCAAAGTTAATAAAAGGTACAAAAGTCAACGTGGAAAGACAAACAAGAAACGATGGAAATTGCAGCCAAAAGGGATTATCTTTAAAACAGCTTCGTCGTCATTTTGATGGCTCTCATGATACGAAGAAGAAATTAGAAAGAATCAGACTGCCAGCCATTCACGCTCGAAACAAAAGACGTCAGCGCGTCAGATCACCTACTAACAATCTTAAGCGGGAAAACAGGAAAATCCATTATGAATCATCGTCAGAGATCACTCCTGTACGACAAATGATGCCAAAAGGTTTCGAAGAGTTTTGGTTGCAATACAAATCGTCTCTCGCAATTCGATCGTCAACTATTTTTCCAGACATTGATGCTCTGTCGATTGAGATCATTCGGCAGCAAAACCAACCTCGCGTGGTTCTGCCTTCCATACGGCGGATCAAAAACAAATGAGTTCATTATTTTGTTGGACAGTTTTAAGAGTTCGCCCGTTTGAAGACTCAGACGCTAAATGTATCTGTTGAGCCAACGGGGTCCTGAAATACCTCAGTGTCAAAACTCTCCCAAAGTAAGAGAAGCTATACTTAGCTGATCTATCTAGCAAAGGGTTTTGGGTTGATCATGAAGTGCTGTGAATTTCTCTTAACCAGCAATAAAGAGAGATTTCTAAGAGTAAAATTGACTTGAGTTGAAATCAATCTGGTCACCCTGAGCGGCATAAAGATCGTTGATGAGAGTACAGTCAGTGCCGGATTTGTAACGCACCCCCGTGATGCCCGTGACACATTTCGTTATGAGCTGTAGAGACTAAATTTAGCTATTGGAGAGGGGGGGGGCTTGGCCAAATTGTTGATTTTTGTTTTTGTCTGTATGATGTGTTGGTTTTGTTGTTAGTTCCAAAAGTGCCCATGAATATCACACTGTTTCTTTACCTTTTGGTTTTAATTTCCAGCTGACATTACAATGTCCTGCCGTTTTTCCAGCTTAGTTATAGATTCAGGCAAGAGAAATTGTTAGTGAGACAATGATTCTCGTTAGTAGGAAAGTTTGTAATTCGATAAAAGGGCGTAGAAACTAAGAAGGTAACTGCTGAGGAAACTTTACAAAGGCTCAATACTTGTGTTTTTCTCCAGTAACAGGACCCGCATTTCATTTCGATTGTTCAACTTAAGCTAGTGACTTTTCTGTTACTTCGAAGCTTTTAACAGGTAAGCTTAATCTGCCTCTTATTTTAACAAACTTTCCTTTGCCGTGATTCTCTTGGAGAAAGAACTTTCACTGGGACATAGGTCAAATATTCTCTTGCTCCAATGTTTCATTGGGAGACTCGTTTTCTCTTGGTTCAGGCCTTAGGATATTTAGCTTATTTTCTAGAGTTAAACATCTATTTTAACTTTGTATGTTGCGCTAATTTCAGGGTTCCTCTCGCCCACGCAAACTCTTTCTCTACGTTTTCAAGACGCTTCCAAAGTTCCTTGATGTCTTGATGTAAAGCTGCAATTTTTTGGTCGTTTGTTTTGATCGAGTCGTGTTCTAGCGAGTCTCTATCGAACTCGTTTTGTTCTTCTGCTAGTTGGTAGTTTTCCTCTAAATCATGAACAAGTTCAGATGCATTTTCATGTATGGTGCACAGCTTTGGAAAAAAGCCCATAACTCTATTTCTTCTGGCTACCAGGTTTGCACGCTTCTGTCGGTGGTTGAAACAGTTTGCCAAACGTTTTAGCATCGCATTTCTATCACTCTGTCTTTGCAAGTTATTTTCGCCAAGAAAATTGGCATCAGGTCCAATATCATCTCCAAAGTCCATTTTGTTATTGTCGTCGTGTTCACTGGTAAATGCAAATGTCCCTGGTTTGCCGGCGTTGATTTCCTTGCTTTCCTCAGGTCCTCCATCTAGGATCGAGTTGCTTTCTCGAGATTTCTTTGCTACAGGTGACAGAGGTATCATCATGCCTCGTGCATAATATTGCCACGATGCCTCTTCCATTTGATGTCCTCAGTATTTTACAGACGCACACAAATTTAGTTCTTGACGCGTTCACACACGCTACGGTCGCCTTCACTCTCAATCAATATGATTAGAGGGTATAACGCTTTTAGTCTGTAATTATATGGCTGATCCGAATAATAAAGAAACTACCAATTTCCATATACAACGATGGAGATTAGGGTAACACTCGATTCTTAGTATTTCTAACTGCCAGAGACTCAACGTCAGAGAAATCCTTCAATCCGTCTGTGAGTTCGCGAACACTTGGTTGAGCGAAACCTGACTCAGATTGGAGTAGTTATGCAAAGTCCACAAAGCATTTCAAAGTACGAAAGAAACAATCTTGTATGATGAAATTAAAGGTTGTCTACTCGGTAAGTAACCTCCACTTAATTCTATATTTTTGCATCATCATCAGTCTTCACTTTATGCCCATCAGAAATAAGCAGGAAGAATCGCTGAAGTGAGTTCAAATGTTGATTCACCTATTGAACCAGATATATTCGAGTATTTGATGTAGGTTCGACTATCTACACAATAGATACTTGATGACTTTTCTTATACGGTAATGTCATCCTTCATTGCTTTTGATGGCTATCTACCTGCTGCCGGTACTTTCAGTTCGTAACTTGTCGAGAATCATCCTTTCGGTAGGTCAACGATAATTCTAGCTCTGCGTCCGTCTTACCTCAAAATTTATTAGAACTGGTTTGTTTATCAGTAAAACTCCCTTATTATGTTCATTTGACTTACCAAGCTCAAGCAATTAGTCAATTTAACCTATGGCGTATTCTCCTGGTAATCATTTAACACGAAATAAATTACTTATGCTTTGTTTGCTTGGCTAGTGTCAGGGGGTAGTGATACGGTTGGTCGGGAGCGTTTTGTTCTTGACATCAACCCATTGTTAATCCTCTTTTTTGTTTTCTCGATGACGCTAAACCAGTCACTATTGAATATTCTGAATACAATAAAGCCGTCAGAACAGAAAGCCTTCAAAACAACTGAGAGTAATTTCAAAGAATCCATTAAACCCTTATTGAAGTTGTTGTCTTTCTCTAAGGAATTGTTTCGTGGTCATTAGTGCCATTTGTGATGCCCCGGTACTAAAAAGTGCGTATTCGATAAGAGATTGCTTTTTTCTCACAGACATTTTGTTTACACCAGTGCAAGCCCTCTAGCCAACTATACGTTTTGCGTTGCGTTTATGAGATTCAAAATGTCAAATAGTCGTCAGATCTAATTATCATGAAGCAGTATTCTCATAATTTTGCTTGTTTCGTAGTAAGTAGGAAAGAAACGTAAGGCTTTGAACTTTGGGTGTCATGCAGTATTGATCACTTTGTATATTCTCGTTACTGTTTTCATTTACCGTCATTCAGGAAGGTGCAGAGAATTAAGAAAATTACCTACAATATTTTGCATCTATGAGATAGATCACAAAATTCGGGCCAGTTTGAAGATCATAGCTTGAAAGTGAGGGATCTTGGTTTCCTGGATTGTGCCTTAGCAAAAGATCTCTGCACACCGAAGAATAGAAAAACCATCTCATAAACCTTTCTTTCGCTTTCTTTGGAGAGTCAAAGTTTGTAACGAACTAATAGGCCTCATCTGACGATTAGACAACAACAAGAGATTATAAACTGTTTATAACCTCTAGACAACAATTAAGCCAGCATCTTGCTGAAGCCCTCTCCATTACTCAAATGAAGGGAAAAAAGCCTAGATGTAGAAGTTTCCTTGATTTCACTCGTCAAATAAAAAGCTCAAACCTGTCAAAGAACAATCAAGAACAACTCTATACTTCAGAGTATCCAGTTTTCAATATTTTCTCTGATCATAGAGAAATTAAAGAGAGCGTAAGCCATAAAAGGCTGAGAAAAAACTTTGGCTGGGTAGTGCGATGATGCCTATTGTACTGAAAACTCAGTTTGCTGAGTATTTCATTAAATGTTGTTTATTGTTCTCAGATGGCGCAGGGACAAAACACAAAACACCCCAACATGTACGTGATAGGGGCCGGAAGGGTAAAGGAAGAACCTTAAACCACGTCAAGTTGGAACTAAAGAAAATAAAACGGTTTATTCATTGCTATGAATTTACCAATACCAATTGTTACCGAAGGGGATACATTCTGTTAGTTTCATCCTTGTCATTAAAAAATAAAGATTGTCCGTAAACATCCCCAGTCTACCGTGGCAAGTACTGTTACAACTAAGGGAATCATTAAATTTTTAAAAAGCAAGAAACAAATATGACGAATGTTTTCGTGGTAAGAGGACAGAAAGGGTCGCCGACCAAAACTGGAAACAGGGTGAAACTCTTATTGGGCAGCCATCTTCCACGAGTCCGCTTTTCATTCGTGCGCTTCTGACAATTATCCTAGAAAACGGGCAGCTTGTTGTCGAATTTTTCTCTTAAATCAGTTTGTCGTCTCGTCCGATGGACGGGCAACAAATCATCACTGGTTTTTAGACTTTAAGGCGAGCTGAAAAGGCGCAGTGATTGGAAAATTTAGTTATTGTCACGCAAAGCGTGTAAAGAACGACTAAGGGACTTGATATGGGGTTTTTCACCATCCCACCCAAGCAAGATTCATGACTCTCACCTTAATTATCTAGCCGAATACTTAACAATCGAGCGAGACGGCAGAACGATGTTTGAGCGCAGAAAAGGAATGCACATTTTACAGTCTAATCGCGGTGTGCCACGTTTAGTTGTTTAGTTGGTAATGCAAGCCACCACACTACAGTTTAGTCAGTGTTACTGATCGGGCCCGTGTCGACAATCGTCTCATGGTCTGCATTTCAAACGAAACTTTTCCGTAAGCCTTTCTTCCTTTTTTCCCACATGAAACGATCCAAATAAAAGCTCTCCTGCAGTTGTTCAGACGCCATGAATAAATAAACGGGTTCATAGAACTGTTTGCTAAAATGAGCAGAAACTGAATGTCACGCGAGAATAGCACAAGGTCACAACCACATGTAGAGCATAAGTTGATGACATATATGCCGGCGCAGGCAGGCAGATAACAAGAAATGAATAACACCAACATAATAAGTAATGTCTTCGTTATCTTTTGTTCCCAGCGCATTCTGATTTTCTTAGCGCGATTATCCTCTGTGCTATCATGTAAACTGTCCCATTCCCGAACTTGACGTCGAAATATCTTGTAAATACGCACATAAGCAAATAGCAAAACTAGAAAAGTCATCACGACTGCAGTATTTGCGAACAGAAATGCGTAGCTAAAGAAACCCAAGTACAGATACGCAAAAGGGAAACTCAGTGATATCGTCCATACAATAACACAGGCAAATAGGGCCCGCAAAGGACTCAAATTTGCTCTGTATCGAAATGGTGATGTTATTGCGACGTAACGATCCATTGTGAGGGCCGCCAGACTGAGAACAGAGGCCGTGCACGAAATAAAGAAAGGCATATGGACGGTAGCGCTGAGAACTTCATAGTCGATCACTCCAAGAGCGTTCTTTATGTGGTAAAAAGCTGAAACTGGTTCTGTAACAAGGCCCACTAACAAATCGGCCATCGCAAGATTCGCCACCAAGTACATGAATGGGGAACGTAAGTCTTTATTCGGATCAACGAAAACTGCCATAACCACGATAAGATTTCCCGGCACAGTGATGAGACACAGAAGCGCTGACACCCCACCAGTTATAAATGGAAGGATTGCTGGGGCGGTCGAATTCACACATGGCGTTTCAAAGAATATAAAAGTGTCGTCCATATTCTCAGATTTTTACTTGAGTGTGATCAATAGTAGAAACGTAGTAAATTGTATACTTGGCCTGTTTCCAGTTTAGTTCTCCGTTTGTGTGACAGTTGCCCGATTGACAAGCCATTTAGATGATGTAACTCATCCTGATTGGGGAGAGGCGAGTAGAGTTTACGCTAACGTTGCTATCGATTCATTGTTTCAACTTATTTGGTAAGAAATAAGAAACGATATTTCCGCTTCTCTGATGATGAGAAAGCGATGGGTGTGCGGGTTCAACACGTATAAACTGACCTCTATAGCCTTTTATGTGACAGGATAGGTTACAGTGGTATAGATAAAAAGATTTCCGATGACAGGTTGAGATCTTCTTGCACAGAAGAAAATTTTAACTTACGCACTGATTGATTGAGTGCGCCCGCTGGTTTAATAAAGGAACAGGAAAATAATTACTTAAATTTGATAATAAATACTGTCTGTTACGTGCTGCAAAATGCTTACCTTTGTCTCCAGATACCAGTCTCACATGTTTAGTTAATACTTAGCTCAACATGTGGGTGTGATGGAAAGTTTGTTTGTCCAAGAGGATATCAGCTCATGTCATTTTCTATGATACTTGAAGGTACAACTCAAACTTTCTTTCTAATGAACAGTCTTTCCTCGCGTACGGTCTTTCAAGATACTCGGCAATGGATAAATATTCTAGATTTGACTTTTAGCCCTGAACGCTCTAGGTCTGGTCTGTGTGGAGATATGTCCCTTTCCTGGAGGGGAGGACGCGGGCACGCGGTTGCATACGGGCAACCTGGACATGACTAACGTCTATTGTTTGTAGTTCAAAGCTAGACGTGACATCGTTGTCAATTCAAGCCGCATGGGAGGACCCCTCCCCATCCGCGCTCGGAAAGGAAAGGAAAAAAAGACAGGAAGTCCTGGCTGAAAGATCAGGGAGACAAAAATAAATCAGTAAGAACTCTTGAGGAAATGGTAAACGTCTAATGATTATATTCGTGCATAAGAGGGCAAGTTTGAAAAGTAATGAGAATTCTAGTAAAGTCTACAAACACGTCTTCTTTCCACGTTCACCCCGCGATTAAGAAGCAATCACCACAAATAAAACGATTCCGAAATATGACTGCCCCCGAGCGTCTATTCTTTCTTACTACCGATGCGACTGTCACGTCTAAAGAGAGTTTCGTATACTAAGGAGTTCAAGTAAATTTGAATGTACGCCGATATCAAGGACATAATTTCGTTAAATTTTTCTGTACCTTTTGAATATTTTTTCCGCTCGGAATTCAATCACTTCCCTGTTTATATCACTCAAGCATTTTATAACAGGATGGCCCTTGCTTGTTTCTGACTTATCTCATCCTCCCGGGAGGTTAACTTTTGGAGTATGGAGGTTTTGGTTTTTCTCTCTTTCATGGAGTATTCGGGGATGTCCAACTTGCGATTTCAAGTTTTCTCTATTCTGGGGGATATTTTGGCCAGCATAAAGACTCCAGTTTTGATTCACAAGTGATTTTTCGATTTTCGTTGTGTTTCACTCTTGTTTGGATGGTTAAATGGGCTGCCAACATTTCGTTGATTGTAGGCATGAGCAATTCATGCTTATTAACATTAGACGCGGTTACACACGTACACCATCTGTCTAAGGTTTCTCAAGTCCCAAGGGGTAATTGGCCTGGCTAAGGATCAGCTTGGTTTTTCATTCAGGAGCATGATATTTTCCGGTTACACTGCTAATAATAGCCCGAAGTCAGGCGTAACACCCTGCAGATTAGGCGTAATTGTTTTGCTTTTTTCAGTCGCACGGAAACAAGCGCGAGGCGGCGCGAAGTGCGAGTCACTCGCGAGGGGAGGAGTGCAAAAGGAAAAAAAACCCAAATAAGGAATAACTTTTTCGCGCTCCTCTTCTCGCACTCGCTTAGCTCTTGACTGCGTTCAATAAAACTCAAAAAATTACGGGGTGTTCTGCAGGCTACTCGTCTGATGGTATGACCAACCCTCCAATATCAGATAATAGTTAGTGAGTTGTAGTAAATAATTTACAAAAGGTGATGAGCGGATTTACCAATTAAAAGAAAATTGACATTGAAGAAAGTCCAGGTACTATCCCGGAGTCCAGCCTAGGATCCTGCTCAATCTTCCTAAGTGACCAAAGTCAGGATCAAGTGATGGGCTCCTGCCAAAGTTAATTACCTAGGAGGTGATCAATTTCTTTCGGTAGGAGCTCAATTGACTGTTCTGTCTTTGCAACACCTTTTTGAGGGAGCCATTGGTGGTTGCTGATTTTTTCTTTTTTTGTGATGCACTATTCACAATTAAGTTAAAGGTCAAAAAATTTTTTTAAAGCTTGATCGAAAGCATCATCACTATCAACCCATCTTCTTATTTGTGAAATTTATAACCGATGCCTTTCCCTTTCTCATTTTGGTGGGTCTCAGCTTGTAAAAGGTGTTATACTTCAGTCCCTGGGGAGTGTTTTTTACGTCGAAATCAACCATAACTTAGCGCCAATGATATTTTCACGTTTTCGGCCTCTAAAGCGACTCTTTGTAAACATATGCCATGAGTCAAAGCAAAAGTATGCTTCAGCTAGAGAAAGCATTAAAGAGTTGAATCTCTCAAAATTACTCTTTACTTAAGAAGAAACATCTTCCCAAACAAAACCTAGCTTACATTCCAGTAGACCTCGTGTTGTACAGCAAATTCAATCTATTTATTCATTTATTTCAATTTAATAGCTAATCTAAATGGAACACAACAGTACTGAGAGTAACAAGAAAACAATCGGCAACTATACATGGATAATCCGAAAACAGTCAGGGATAGTTATCAAATTTGATAACAACGTGACGTTACAACATGGTGACCATTTCGGAAATCGAAGACGAGCCACTGAGGACAGATAACTATGCTAAATAATAGAATAGAATGAAAACATACCCAAGTTAGAATTCCGAGATGCTCAAAAAAACAAAATTACTTTTATGAGAAAAATTACACTTCCCACCCCTTTAATCTAGATGCCATTAAAAATATTTTAACTTCTGCTCTAAAATTATTAACATTATTATTTGTACAATGAGTTTCTTAGCTAAGCGATTCCAGAAAAGACTTTTATGGTCATTATCTCTTGCAGCTTTCTTGTGTAAAAGTGAATTGTCTCAATTATGGTCAAAAGCATGCGTAGCAATGAACACTGGCCGACTGGTGGTTGCACCACTACATCTCTGACAAAGTGATCAGGCGACCCACTTCCCCTCCCCCCCCAGCCCCTCTCCCTCAAAAGCCACAAGGTCTCATTCAAAACTGTCCCAGCCATGGTAGCCTACATGTGGCCGTACCCTCCTTCCGCCGAGGTGAAACCTTGAATGGGGAGGGTACGGCTACACGTAGGCTACAACCATGGCCGATTATTGCAGCTAGAATCCGTTTCTAAATACTAGTGGACTTAGCTGCCAACTATCGCAAGGCCAGTGCTGACTTTCTTGACAGATCAGATAACAGCGGTATTCCTTCCACGAACATCAATTGAATCCTCTCTTATGTAACCGTTTGGACTCTATTAATATCTCGGATTAAACTTAACACTGATATGGAGGGCACGCGTCAGAATGTTTGCTCTCAGTGACGACACGTGAAGGAGAAATGGTGAGGTGGATGTTCAGTCTCCATCCGAGATAATCCCCATGGCTCTCTTTTGAAAACCGTAAGATATCATCTGTGATCTCACTAACGGTATTACTTGACGAAGATTTTTTCTCTAACCTGCGAAGGGGAAAATTTAATATCTCAGTGGGTCTTTAAGTTAGGGTTGATGATGTAGATGAGTGTTCCTAAAGCGAAACTGTTGACAGAAAGAAGGTTGCCGGAAATAACTATAATACATACGGTAAGATCTTTGGAAAAACCGCAAAATTCCTAATTCTTGTATTCATACAAAGAGCTAAAAATATAATCAAATATGTGTTGAAATCTAAGTTTCTGACCTTCAAACTGCTAAAATTGCCTCAAGCCATGATCTAAAAGTGAAACGCTTTGCTGATAAAACCAGCCAAAAAAGGAAATCAGTTGAACTTAAATTGAGACCAGAAATGTTTACGACAGGCGTGCCAAGACTACTGGAGAAGAAAAAATTAGGAGACCATGCAGTGTATTTAGGCCATGTAGATAGTAGACGTGACAACGGAATCATGGCACATGACTACTTTTATATCTCGCAATAACTGCAAAGAGATTAACAATAAATCTTCCCTTACTATAACAGGCTTAATAAAAATCTTGTTAGTGTTTAGCAGATTACGTTTCGTATTTCAATTGTATTGAGTGAGAAGTTGATTAAAACGATCGACCTTGAACTTTAATGACCATCAAGAACATGGCTAAAAACTGAATAACACTTAACTATGAAAGAACCAACAACTGAAACAACTATTAAACAAGAAACATCTGTGGCATGTTTATAGAACTAACAAGTGTTGCCAAAAGCTTTTTTTAAACGTGTCTCTCAACCTTTAAAATACTTTGAATTCAAGTGTACTCGAACTCTATTTTTATCGAGCAGTATTGCCATATCTACAGATTTATCGGCACTCAATTTGTTGATTAATTTGGTGGAGGCGTGCTAAATTCTGTTGACAGTCATTGATTAGGCAACCTTACAAGCGATAAATAGGCGAAAGCACTCGCACTTTTAAGCTTGTTTGCCAATCTATCACTTTATATCAGCTTGTTAGAGGTGGTTAGTCGAATTAAACTTGAAAATCTTTATCCAGATTTGCGTAATGGAAGACACTCATAATACGGTTTGAGTGAAACAAAACAATTCAATATGTGTGCTACTGAGCCCTGCGACAATAAAAGTCTGCCAGTGTTCATTGCTACCGACCCTTACTTAAAATATTTCCCTCGAAGCAACATTTCCGAACCACTAATTAAAAAAATGCTTCTCTTTTGGTTAAATTTCCGGCCAAAAACCTCGATTGGAATCTGTTTGTAGTCAAAGGCAAAATGCTTTACCTCGCTTGAACTAAAAGGGGCCCGTTCATAACGTTGGATACGCTTTAGCTTACGGAAATACATCTTAGACACTCAACAGCTTCAAAAAATTGCACTAGCCGAGAATTTCAGCATGCCAGACGGAATTAACATCTACTCTGAGAGAGTGGAATTAAAATGTTGAACATTTTGCTCGTAGCTAACATTTCTTGTCCGAGCTGTGGCGGGTACTACAAAGAGGCCGGCCAAAAGGGGTATTGATGTCAACATTTCCTCCCACTGGTTATAAAAGGGAACTTAAACGTTGGAGAACAGATGAAAAATAGTGCCAAGACCTGTTGACAGTGACACCTTATTGATGGGCAGGAGAAACCACATTTCCTAATCTTCGAGAATCGTCGTGATATAAATTGCGTCCAGGTTTACCACTAGTTCATAGTGCGATTTCATGGTGCATCTCAGAGGACCTTGTTAGGATAAGAGAAGATCAACAAGATGAAAACAACAACTTTTCTCGTCGTAGCAGCTATCTTACTTTCTTTTATTGTTGAGGAGAGTGACGGAAAAGTTACCACAGTTCTACATCATGGTCGCATTAGAAGCCTTCAGAAAAAGCGGAGACGAACGGAGAAAAAGGGTCAACCAAAAGCAAATCAGAAGGGTGGAAATCATACTAAGCATGCCGGATACCGAACTCAGAAAGTAGGATATTATCTTAAAGTTTTTTGTTTTCTTTTATATAAGATAAAGAGGATAATACTTTTTAAACAAAATTTACTAGTTGTGCTAGCTTACAAAAATAGGAAATGCACTGAGTCAAAAACAATTCTTTTTTATTTGTTTAGAAATACACCAGATGGCACGAGTCTCCAAGCTGGATGACCGAGTGACTGAACATCGCTCTTCAGTTGAGATGCAAGTTTTATGCGTCGACAAACAAGAAGTCAAGATGCAGTTGAGAGACTGGTTTTCGTTTTTTATACTTACACGAGTCCGACTATACATGAACGCTATCATAAATTAATCATCCGATTTTAGTAAAATAGTACTTTTAGGACATAATTTTTTGCAATTGTTTACTTCACGAGTTATTTGCCTCAATTCGACATAAAGGCCTACGGAGAATTCCAGTGGTCAGTTTTCGCCCAAGATCTGCCTGCTGTTATAATAGGATTAACTGTCCTCAAGAGGTAAAGCTGATTACACTATGATAAAGCTTTCAAAGCAAGGCGTACAACCAGTTGAATTGTACATCAAGTTCATCATGTAGTTTTAAACAATTGCCAATGACCAGGCGATCAAAAGAGCAGTAGAATCGTACCCATGAGTTGACTGTGTATATAGTAAGTACCATTTCACGCCTGATTGCATGTAATTCCCACGCTTTTTCATTTGTTGAGCCTTTGTCGTTGTAAGCTATATCAACGACAGCAGCTGTAATATATATTTGAGCTTTTTTTTTTTCTGAGATGGATCGCAGGATCATAATAACTAACTTGTTGAAAAAAATTACTGTCAAATAAAAGTGACATTAGTTGTATGACTCCTAGTCAGTCTACTCAACCCTGTTTTAAAAGTGAAAGGTTTTCAAAACATCGAATATATAAAGGAAACTTATTATAACTTATTCATCGGGATCAAAACAAGTCATTGAGGTTTAAGGTACCAGAATATTCTGTTAGCCTCAGACGACTCAAATTGCGTATGTTTATCATCTCTTAATGGCGCACATTTCAGCAAGTCCGTATCTCCTGCAACGCAAAATATACGATCGGAATGACTAAAAATAAACTCTCTTTCTTCGCATCTGCACAATTTGTTGACCGGTGGTAATTTACATCACACAGCATGAAGATTTTTGATGAAAAGCTTCGACTCAAACATTACACTGCGAAATATTTCAAAGAATTATAACTTAATTTTCTGACATCATAGCTATTTTACAACTTGGTTGCTTTTATATGACTTGTTTTGCTGCTGAAGTGGGAGAGACAGATTCATTAACAATAACTAATTATCATATATGCGATGGTCTGTTATCACATCACCATTAATTAATTATCAGCTGACTTCATTCAACACAAGTTCAAGCTATGAAAGTTATGTGAAATTGCATTTTTCCCCGCCACGCGACTCACACGGCATACCTTGTTTTCCCTAGTAGTTTTATACCCTCCATATTAGCCAAACTTCCTGGAAAAGCGTTGTCATTAAGTAATTTTGTAAAGATTATTCGGAAAAAAATTAACCCCAACAGTGCCTATGTCAATTCAGTAGTTATTGCAATAACATTTGTTTGTTTTCAGACTTTCCTTTCCATTTCAGTCAGTTAACAGAATTCTTGGTAGTACGTGACGTTTCGACCTATGCCAAGAGCTTTTGTCTGATTTTCCTTCTGGCCTTGATATCTGTGTAGACAGATTCGGTTTGTTTTCTGACTGTTGCCGTTTCCTGTGTTCGTTGCTGTGCGTGGCAAGACCGCTATAGAGTGCTTTTTCTCGCTTGCTATTCCTATCACGTTCATGGACATCTTTGCCTAACGATCGCCACATTTGGTTATATATCTTTCGCTCTGTATAATGCCTCCATTTCCATCGCGAATAATTTATTTTCTCCTTCAAGATTCTTTCTATTGCTGGAAATGAATTCGAAAGTGTCAATGGTTGACTGTTTTGCTTGTATGCTGTAGCATTCTGAAGTGCTACTTCAGTCAAACGTAAGTCACAAATGTTTGGTAAACTTCTGCTGAAACGATTTTGTTGTAACTCAAGTGATGGTCTTGTCTTGAAGTCTTGTTCTAGCTCGCCAATAATTTGCTTTAAGCACAAAGATCTGTTTTGTAACTGAACCTCTTGGACGATATGGTTATTCACAGATTGTGCAGTAAGACTGCAATCGCCTCTTGACCGTGACCCGTCCAATCTGTGACGACGACGTCGCTGATTTTCTGGTAGTTCTCCTAGCCAGTTCTGAGCTGTTCTCATTTTCAACGGGTACCATAAGGCCCCTTTCCCTCCATTTCTAAACCAGAAATGTCTAGTGGTTTAATTGTGATCATCAAAAAAAGATGCCGTATTGTTGTTATATTTGCATCAATTAAAGGAAAGCCTTAAGCACGCAGATTTTCCGGCTTACAGTAACTTGTTAACGCTTTTGCAATACTAAAACGGTCTCTAAACATCACTCGTGGCCAAAGAATACTCTTCAATGGAAGTTTTTGTCGATAATCATCAATTTGCTTATTTTATTAAAAACGCATGCACTCAATTAAACTTTGAAATTTTACACGGTCGTTATTAAACTTAAGTGGTTGCAGAAATTTACTTACTAATGAGACCTTAATGCGTTTTATTGTTTTCTGGTCATTGTAAACTTTGGCCATTATTTTAGGCAATTTGTAAACACAAAACGAGTGCCTATTTCCAAACTTTAATTAAAATCTTGGTTGATTGTGGGGCAGTTGTTACGGCTTAAAATGAATTGATGGACAGCCCTGAGTATCATCAATAACCCTAGAAAGTTTTAGAAAACCCTCAATATACAGCTAAGCGAAAGTTCTCACTAAAAGGGTTGCCTAAACGAGTTTTGATGCTGTAATTTTTGTATTTTTAAATAAGTTAATTCAGCATTGAATTGAAGTATTCCTGAAATAAAAGAGTATTGAGCAGTGACTAATATACGACTACTAATTAAATATATGTCTTATAATGTACTGGTTTAATCTCTTAATCCTCTCTTCGCAAAACTAATTCTATTTCCTACTAACAGGATTTACAGCTTACTGACAAGTGTAATTACATAGAATTTAACCTGCCGTCGGTAAAGACAGAAACTCCCGTATCCTTGGTCTTTATGGCCTTCTTAGCTCATTTACTGTTTCAAAGAAGGAACAAAGTATTACTAGAAGGAAGGCAGCCAAATTGCTCATGTTCGTCGACATAACTTTCTTGCCCATATCACGAGGATTTTCATGCCCCCTCCGGAAAAAGTAGATCGCAAAGCCCGTTAGGAATGCTCACTCAAAAATATGACTTTTAGTTTATAAATAAGCTTTAACTCGATATGTTTACAGCCTGTTTAAAATAAACACATTTATTCCACACAAGTGTAAATGGAACACGACGGGAAATGAAAAATACAGTAAGTGTCAAAAAGAACCTGCCGGCTTTACGTTCTGTTGACAGTGATATGGAAAGACCTCTACCAGTTCGTCAAATGACGTATCTGGTTTCTACGTGAAATGTTAAGGTTTAAAAACTGTTTCTCCTAGATTTAAGCGGTTGGCAAAGAAAGGGATGTTGATCAAGTCATGATTTTTTACGGGGTTAAGATTACTTGTGGGTTCTCCATAAAGTGGTACAACTCCGTTGCTTCCTTGAAACACCTGCACCATGGAGAGAATTTTAAGCGCTTCACTCGGAATTTGGGGGCGTCTCAGTTTATTTTTAATCTTATAATTCATTATCTCGTTTTAAACGTGGAAAAGCCAAAAGAAAAAGAGGGGATAGGTCAATTTACGTCGCGTACATATAATTACAGGTAGAATTACAACTAACAGTCGCCAAGGGCCACAGCTTAGCCATTGACTCGTTCCCAGATTCCAAACACGTGTTCGCTGTGGAGGACGGGGAGGGCTGCTTCTCAGCAAACTCCAAAATGGCGGCTACCGTGAAGAAACATGGAATTCGGAAGAGACGTTTTCCGCAAAGCGCCACGAGGCATGCTTTAGCTTCACCCTATCATCTCGAATGGTAAGAGTTTTTTTTAATGGGGCAACTAAAACGTAACAATTTCTCGAAGCAATTTAAGAGGATGAAATATTGCAAGTTGATTTTAAATGGATTTCAGCACGAAGTGAATGAAGCTCAACATAATTGGATTGTCTCTGGAAACGGAAAAATACAGATTTCAAGCTATAGTTTTTGTTTGAACTTTATATATTCGTTTTATACGAAAATCCGCTTCATATACGATTGCTCCTCGATCTCTGGTATTGTCATTATCATTAAACTGCTATTTTTAAAATCAACATTACTGCATCATCATTATTTCAAAGGCCTGCATTGAAAAGAGGAGGCAGCACAGCCATTATAAATGAAATTATTAGGTGAGTATCATACCGACTCGTATAATGTGATATGTGTTCGATGTTTGCACTTAGTCTAGAAAATTACTGAATAATGTCTGTATTGAACTCTACGCTTACATTGATATTATTTTTTAGTGTTGCCAGTTAAGTAGTGCGAGGTTTTTTGCCTTTTTGTGTTGCATTTCAAGTAGAAAAGTAAAAATTGATATAAAGGCATTGTATTTTGACCCTTTAACTCTCAAGATCTGATTGTGAGGTCTTCCCTCAAGCTGATGCACATTTCTATGTTAAATAGTCATGAGAATTTGGTATTAGATCAAGATAGCAACCTTTACCTGAGTATTCTTATTTTCTGTTTGCTGGATAAAATAAGGCTGTCATGGGAAGAAATTACATTTTAATTACTTTGGATAGTTAAGGTGCTACTATGACAAAAAATTTTGCTTTTCTTTTTGTCATCTTTGAACAACGATTTGGTAAAAATGTTTAGACTTCTACAAAACCCTAGTTTTAAGGTCGATGAACGCAAAATAAGCCTTGAAATAGATGGCCAATTTTTGCTTCTTATAAATGGCATAGAAAATGTTGGTTTGTTGAGATGCACGTGTGATATCATTATGGAAAAGCTTGAATTAGTGCCAACTCTTTTTACTGTACACAGCTATTCTTGAATTGAGTAATGACAGGCGACCAACATAAAAAAACATGGTTTAAATAATTGAACTTCCCGTGCAAATATTGGATTAAAACTTGGCATGGTAAGTGTTTCTTACTTCTAGTCTCCAGGAGTGAAAAAAAAACAAAATAAAGGAAAATGTGAAACTTCAATCATAGTAGCACTTTAAGGGGTTAAAGCCAAACACATTTAAATCCACTAGATCATGATGTTGAATTTCTTCTTCAACCATTCCCCATTTAGTTATATTCATGAGAGAAAATACATCTTTATCTTGTTAAGAAGTCTTCCACATAATTATTTTGAAATATTAGAAGACATGATGTCATGTACCTAATGTTATGGGTAATTGTTGTTGCTTTTAGAAATCTCCAGACTGCTGAGTCATGCTGACTTGCATACCATAGAACTTTCCAGAACATTTCATCGGGTCACACATTTATTATGTAAAACTACCAAAATAGTTCTTATGTAAGCTTCTGGAGTGTTCCAGAACTTTGTGAATATATGTAAAGACTCACTTATGTAGTAGTAAGAGCAGTTGTTGTTGGAGCGACGACTGTTTCGAAAGCTATACTGAGAGAGAGTTACTGCAGCAGAAGATTGCTCACTTCGAGGAACTTTGGAGACAGCAGTGAGATTGTGTCAATGGTGAACTAGGATATAGACTGTGGTGGGCTTAATTAATTGTATTAATGATAAGTATTGTACTGCTTTGAGGAGTTGCTCCTTGTAAAGAACATTACTACCTGTTTAATAAAGTAGTTGAGTTTGT